ATCCTTCCACTTAGGACAACCAAAAAAACCCCTAAACACATATAAAACAAGTATAAGAGGACTGAAAGTTAGAAAAAGGCAGAATAGCTAAGGACCTTGTTACCTGAGGAATATATGGATATGAATTCCCATTTTTCTTCTGGCCTCATATATTCTAGGTATAGTGCTAGAGAAATTGGCAAAGCAACAATAGACAGGGGAAAAAAGAAAAGAAAACATAAAACCTTAACAAAAGCTGGCTCTTCTTTAGTCACAAGAAAAGGAAAGGAGCGGCTAGCAAGTTAGAAAACTTTTTAGACAGTAACCACTGTGCTTCATCCAATACCGTGGAATAGAATTGGCTCCATTCCCAAACCTGCCAGCACAGGCCCAGTGGGGAGCATAGACTTATACTCTCACCAGGCTATATCAAGGCACCCACACTCCTGCCAGAGTGGTGCCAGAGAAGACTCAACAGAGAGCTGAGACATTCATCCCATCTGGGCAATAATGAACCCCTTCTTTTACTAGAGTGCTGTCAGAGTAGGCATAGAGGAGAATTAAGGACTTTTGCCATCACCCAATAAAAATGAGGCCACCATCTCTCCTCATGGTGTCAATGGAGGCCATGTGGGAGCAGTAATGAGTCACTCATGTCCCTCCCAGCCTTGGGTGGTTATCAGTGGAGGTATAGTAGGGAATTGGAATTCCTACCCTTGCCCAGTAGTAACAAGAGTTCCCCCACCTTCCCTGGGTAAATGGAAGACAACGTGGGGAACCTTAATTTCCATTTCAACCTTTGAGGATCAAGGTGGTCCCTCTCCCAGTCTTGTCTGCTGGAGTGGTAAACTATGAGGAAAACAGGAGACTTAATTAAGATCTAGAATCTAGTAGGAGTAAGTAAAGTGTTCAGATTTTAATCGATAATCATTTATCCTATCAAGAACCCAGAAAATGTCAACTTTAACAAGAAAATACAATCAGATACCACTTTCAAGATAACAGAAATGGCAGGATTATCTGACATGGATTTTATAGCAGGTGTAATAAAAATGCTTCATTGAGTAATTATGAATACATTTGAAACAAATGAAAAAATACAAAGTCTAAGCAAGGAAATAGAAAACCTCAGTAAAGACATAGAACATATAAAGAAGAATTAAATCGAAATTTTAGAGCTGAAAACTATAATAACTGGAATGAAAACCCTCACTGGATAGACTCATAGCAGAATGGAGAAGACAGAATAAACTGAAAGATGAAATAGTAGAAATTACACAAGCTAAATAAGAAAAAGAACAAATAATAGTGAACACACTCTCAGGAACCTTTAGGACTACCACAACAAAAATTCTAACATAAAAGTCTCAGAAGGAGAGGAGAAAGAAGGGTGGAGCTGAAAACTATTTTAAAAATAATGGCTAAAAACTGTACATTTGGCAGATTATAAACATAAAGATTTAAGAAGCGGAATGACCAACTCTCCCCAAATTGATATACAGGTTTAATACAATTTCTATCAAAATCCCCACAAGGCTTTTTTGTAGATATAGACAAGATTATTCATATTTTACTTCTTTTCCTCTCATGCTTCCTTGTATTTTTCCCCCACTTCCTACCACGTATTACTCTGCCACGTAATTACTCTGTGACCCTAGAGTCATTCTCTAGGCCTCAGTTTACTCTTTTTTTTAAGACAGAGTCTCACTCTGTTACCCAGGCTAGAATGCCATGGCGTCAGCCTAGCTCACAGCAACCTCAAACTCCTGGGCTCAAGCAATCCTTCTGCCTCAGCCTCTCGAGTAGCTGGGACTACAGGCATGCGCCACCATGCCCAGCTAATTTTATATATATGGCCAATTAATTTCTTTCTATTGTTAGTATAGACAGGGTCTTACTCGTGCTCAGGCTGGTCTCGAACTCCTGACCTTGAGCAATCCTCCCGCCTAGGCCTCCCAGAGTGCTTCGATTACAGGTGTGAGCCACCGCACCTGGCCCTCAGCTTACTTTTATGAAATAAAATAATCCTTCAGATGTCTTGTTATTTGGTAGTGCTTAGTAGCTAAATTGATAAAATACCTTTCTTTCTTTCTTGGTATCTACGCATCTAGATTTTTATCAAGTGGTAGGAATTCCATTTTACATTATTAAAAAAAATTTTTTTAAGCACTGAGAGCCCTACATTATAACCTTAGAGGGTGTCCTCCACATAATACTGTGACATAGTGCACAAGAATGGTGGCAGTGCCAATCACTTGGTTCTGAGTCTAAAGTTTTCAAATCTTGGAATGTTCTTTTATATTTGGGCATTATTAGTAAATTATTTTCAGCTATATGTGGGTCATGAGTTTTTTAAAAGAGTTTTTGTAAATGATGATCTATAATTCTTGAGATACTAAGTACTTATATTACTGAACATTGAAGCAATGTTATTATGTGTTTTTTTTGTTTTTTTTTTGAGACAGAGTCTCGCTTTCTTGCCTAGGCTAGTGTGAGTGCCGTGGCATCAGCCTAGCTCACAGCAACCTCAAACTCCTGGGCTCAAGCAATCCTACTGCCTCAGCCTCCCGAGTTGCTGGGACTACAGGCACAAGCCACCATGCCCGGCTAATTTTTTATATATATATATTAGTTGGCCAATTGATTTCTTTCTATTTTTATAGTAGAGACGGGGTCTCGCTCAGGCTGGTTTTGAACTCCTGACCTTGAGCAATCTGCCCGCCTCGGCCTCCCAGAGTGCTAGGATTACAAGCGTGAGCCACCGCGCCTGGCCATTATGTGTTTTTTATATGTAATTTAGTAGGACACTGAAAAAGTCTAGGTAGATTTTAAAAAGAGATGAAAATTTAAAAGGATATTATTGTACAATTGAGATTGCCTGGTGTGAAACCAGTGGACCTGTAAGATGCAAAATCCCCCCATGAGACAGAAAGGAGGTGACAGGGAATAATAGTTGTTGAGTCAGAGACATTTCTACCCGTTTGACTAGGTATACAGTTAGTGCAGAATAGTGTGTGCAAATGACTATTCATATAGTAAGGTAGAGTACAAGCCAACCTCAATTCACTGACACACATACTGTGTGTTTTAAAATGCTAGTATGTAATTTGTTGCCCTCAATCTCATTTCTAATGAGAGCTAGACTAGTCCATAAGATCACGAGTACAAATTATTTTATTTTATTTGTTTATTTTATTTTTTGAGATAGAGTCTCACTTTGTTGCCCAGGCTAGAGTGAGTGCCATAGCATCAGCCTAGCTTACAGCAACCTCAAACTCCTGGGCTCAAGTGATCCTACTGCCTCAGCCTCCCAAGTAGCTGGGACTACAGACATGCGCCAGCATGCCCGGCTGATTTTTTCTATATATATTAGTTGGCCAATTAATTTCTTTCTATTTATAGTAGAGATGGAATCTCACTCTTGCTCAGGGTGGTTTCAAACTCCTGACCTCGAGCAATCCGCCTGCCTCGGCCTCCCAGAGTGCTAGGATTACAGGTGTGAGCCACCGCACCCAGCCACAAAATTATTTTAATACTTAAAAGTGTTAACCCATGAATTCCGGATCATGGGAAAGCATTTTATCGCTCTCTTATTAAAAAGGCATAATTTTGAAATATGTGGATTTGGACTTTGCCCTTTTAGCTCCTTTTTATACTTCCATATGTTACTATTATTTCCCATTCTTTCTACCTTCTATGAACCCTACGCCATAACTACCCCAGCCCCAATCCTTGTCATCTAAACAACAGTTATTTTATTAGAGCATTTATTGGCTTCTTCTTCAATGAGAACAGCCATTACCTCACTAATCAACTCCTAAACCAGGTGTTAAAAGAAAACAATTAGATTGGATCAATTCATGCTGAAGTGTGAGAGACTGACAAACCCACAAACCTCTCAGAAATGGTTTTCTTTTTTTAAAAATGGTGTTCTTTTTAGGTTAAGTTTTAATCTAAGTGATTCTTTATTGATACTTCAGATACAAGACAAAATGAAGTGAATGTTTGATGCTTTATGGGAAAAGCTATCTGTTTTTCTCTTTTGGATGTAAATGTGCAGTGGTTAGAGAGTACAGGGGGAAATTGTGGCCATCTCTACCCCAATCCACCTGTCAAGGCCTAGACAACCTTCCGGTATTTAAACCTACCATCTAGAAAGGGCAGGGTACCTAGATCAAGAGTGGAAGAAAGGAATTTTTCTTGCTCTTTCCAAAGTCAGCTGCCTGGGGGAGCTTTGCAGTAGAGAGGAAAAGGGTCCCATTCTAGAAAGTTGCCTATGTGAGTTGGTGAGCTCCAGCCTCCCATCTGAACAGAGGCCCTGTGGGATTCTCTTGGCCTGAGGAAGGTTATTACACTACCAAGTTGTTCCCTCTGTGGGGTACCTATCAGCAAACACTCCTCAATTGGCAGTAATTATCTGGCTAGAGCTCCAAATCATCCTCAGCTGATGTATGAAAGACCAAAGTGGCCTAAGAAAGGTGTTACTACATAAAGTACAAAAAGGCAGATGGTAAGTTGCAGAGATGTTCTGTAATAAGTGCAAGTGATAGATTTAATTTTTTTTTAAGATAGAAGAGAAGGGAAAGAAATATTTATTGACATCTACATTCTAGTCACATTCACTAGAATTCACCTTTCATCTTTTCCCACCAAGCAGAACTTCTATAATCCAATACATTCTACCTTAAAAACTTATTTGACACTCTGGGAGGCCGAGGTGGGCGGATTGCTCGAGGTTGGGAGTTCGAAACCATCCTGAGCGAGACCCCATCTCTACTAAAAATAGAAAGAAATTAATTGACCAACTAAAAATATATATACAAAAAATTAGCCGAGCATGGTGGTGCATGCCTGTAGTCCCAGCTACTTGGGAGGCTGAGGCAGGAGAATCGCTTGAGCCCAGGAGATTGAGGTTGCTGTGAGCTAGGCTGATGCCACGGCACTCACTCTAGCCAGGGCAACAAAAGTGAGACTCTGTCTTAAAAAAAAAAAAAAAAAAAACTTATTTGAAAATTTGTGTTCTCTTATTAATATATTCCTATTTTAATACAAAGTGATGTGAATTATTATTAAAATTGATGCTCTCAAAAGACAGACCATATGTATCCAGTGACTTGATGTCTCTCATGATACAACTGCCTCATACTTCTAATCTGAGAAGCACAAACATATTTATCTCACAGCAACTCCATGAAAGGGGTATTCTTATCATTTTACAGATGAGAAAATTAAGACTAGAAGAGGGAAGAAACTTAAACATATTTCACAGGTACTAAATGGCAGTATTAAGTTTCTCCTTCAGACTGGCTCCTCATAAGCATTTTGTGATCCTATAAAACAGAAAAACTAGCAATATGAATAAAGTGCTGATCTAAAAGTTAAGAAAGGTTTTTGGTCATTATTGACTGGCAAGGAAATCTTTTAAAAGGCCCCTTATAAAAATCTTGTCTTTCATTTCCTCATATACATGTTGAGTTTAATTTCAGCCTTAATGTTGGGAAAAGGTACATACGTATTATTAAAATTAGACATTTGACATGCTTGAAGACTAGTTCTAAATAAAATCAGTTATTAATGGAATGGTACCCTTGAGAACTCTCCAAGTCTAGTGTACTCTTCTATGTATGTGTACACACCTGACTTTTAAACACAATGTCTTTGCCACCAGTTACTGATCTCCTTACTATACAGAAAACAAGCCATTTTAGTCAGTTACTTTAGTCAACTCACCCCCCACACACAGTTCTCTAAATGGTAACTCATCCATAATGCATAGTAATAGCCAAGAGCTCAGATTTTAAATATGTCAGCAAAATCTAGTTTTAAGTCCTGACTCCAAATTATTAGTGTGGCATTGAGTAAAGTGCTTTAGTTCTCTGTGCCTCAGTTTCCTTATTAAAAAAGGGGTGAATAAATGGTACTCCATGGGGTTTTTATAAATTTTCTCTCGAATTATCTATGATGAATGGTAGATAATGTTGCTATATGTAATGCCTGAAAAGTTTTGAGTCAATGATTACCTTGTAAGTTCACTTTAAATTGAATAAACATATTATTTCATAAGGATTTTTTGTGTGTGTGTCCATTAAGTGAAATTTACTTGAGTTTACTAAGTTAGTCCACAATTTATATGGCCCACTTTTTGATCAAGATTCTAAGTATAAAAACTCTTCTTTCTACTTGAGATTGATTTTCATGGGAAAAGAATGCCACATAATATGTAGCATTCAACTAATCTATTCTGTTAATTTGGCAGTATAAAAAGATTTGTAAATAATGAATTTCCATACTCTTGAAGATACCTTTATACACCTTGCACTGCTTCTGCGTTTACTCATGCCTTGTCTTAAAATAGGACTTTCTCCTGACAGTGTGTGTTAACAATTGGAAAATTCCCTATCAGTAGACTAGCACCATCTTGACAGCCCTGTGTTCTGCCTCTACCTTGCTAATTGTTTCCGTGGGATTATTTGGATTGTGTAGAAAGCTTTTGCAAATCCTCTTATTACTGAAGTCATTGTTGCCGGCAGGAATAAGATTAAAAGTGCTTAAGTCTGTAGAGTTGTTTCTAATTTGTACGTGTCATTTCAGTGGCATTTTAACAGAACTCTGTCTCCTGTCCCTCCCTTCTCCCCTGGTACTATCTCAAGTTGGGTCCAAGAAGCCAGGCCATTGGAAGAAATCTCATTTTATCCTCCTAATTATTATGCTGGCACTCAGGAGATAATTTTTCCCTTCATGCACTGCCAATTAATATGCAAATGGGCTGATAAATATTTATGCAATGATTTAAATTATGCAGGGAGTGCTTTCAGTATATTCTGTAAATGAATTGTTCCTGGACTTCAAAGTGCTGGCTGCAGTGCTAACGAGCGGAGATTTGCATAAGGCCCTAATCACGCGCATACTGATTAAGCTTCATTATGGAAACTGCCAGCTGCAATCTTTGTTTCTATTTTATTACAAAAAGGGGAACTTTTCATGCTTCAGTTGCCGTGATAATGTCAGTCCTAGCTGGTAGGAGAGACTAAAACTCCTCTGAGCAACTGAAGTTTCCTTATTCAGTTGAAGATTGCTATGGTGTAACTGAAGAAGTTGTATTTTGCTTCTCCCCTTAATCACTACCCCCCACACCCTTGTTCTCTTAAGAACATAGTGTAGATTTATTAGAAATATTAGTACCTTCTTTCCCCCACCCCAAACCGCTACCTGTTTCTTCCTTGTTTGGACTGTCTGCACCTCTAGAAGATTTCACAGCAATGCTGGACTGCAGTGACTATGTTTTAGGTGGGTACCAGCACAGTTCTTTTCTTAGAGGCTTTAATATGGAAATAGCATGTGTGGGGTTGACTGTGCATAAATGCTTAATCGCATATGCAACCAGTGCAGGGGAGGGGGAGAGCTGGGTTGAGCTGGGAAGGAGGAAAGCATTTGCAAAGCACAAGCATACTGGAATTTGTAGTAGGTCCCTCCCTGTGACTAGCTCTTCTGGTTCAGAGGGTATTTTCAGTAACTAGTGTGGATTTAGAATTCAGCTTGAGTGAAGGGACATTTGTGATTTTGGGAAATTTCTATTGAGAGCATTTCATGTAGTTCTAAAAATATTTTAAGTCTGAAACAAGGTATAAACTGTACTTAATATATACATATTAATAAAAATGTTTTTCATACCTAAATGAGAATGTCTTATACAGAAAGCAAAAATGCTCAGTGAAAAATAAGGTGGAGTCATTGTGCAGAAATGTTCCCTACATATTAATACAGAGGGTAATTGTACTGTTTACTGCAGTAGGTCTATTGATCAATTTTCAGATTTTAAAAATTATTAACTTTTCAAATTTTTGCCAATATTAACCTTTTTTATTTTCTAAAATCAACTATGTTCTTTAGAAATCTGTAGTTTTAACTGTTAGCCTATTTTGGGCGAGGGAGATGTCCAGTTTAAAAACAGTCTTTGGTGACTAAGATTTAAAAGAGAAGCACTTTGGTTTTTAGACATGATTGATGATGGCCATATTTTTTATGTAGTTTTGTCTATTTATTTGCAGAGTTGTTGAAACCTTTCTAAATGTTTCTCACCTGGGAAGTTGAGTGATACGAACTCTAGGACTTGGATATCTTACATTTAAAACTTCTGCAAATGACCTTTTCTGTATGTCATTTTCCCCACTTGAAAATTGAGTCTGTCTCCTATTACTTTCATAGTTGCCAAGAATAAAGTAAAATGATATTTCTGAAAATGTTTGAATTCTTATGCAAAAGGCATGGCCTAAACCCAAGGTAGTACTGATACTTGTCTAGTACAGTAAAAACCACTATGTAATGGGTGAATGACAGAAACAACAAATTTATGTCAAGAATTCAATTAAATGGCAACTTGTAGACTGTGTATTGATTGGACTCATTATTTACAGTCAGCTCAATGGCTTAGACTTATATTTTTTTATATTGCTTAGAGAGAGAAAATACTTCAACTATCAAAAAAGAATGTATTTGTATTTACTCTTTTATATTTACCAAGTTGGGAACTCAGAAAAAGAAAGGAAAATATCTTTTTGAAATATTTTTAGCATTTTTTCAGAATTGGAAATTATATGTATTACTTTCAGTTAATAGTAAATATAATTTAAACAATCTCTCCCCATTGTTATTGTACAGTTCATCAAAATTTTATTGTTTTATTCTTTTTCGTGTGTTAAGTAATTTTGTTAAATGCCATTGATGCCCTTGACAATTCAGTGAAAGATTCTGAAAAGATTCACATAAAATACCTGTGTCATAATTTATAGATGGGGAAATTAGGATATGGATTGTATAAGCTTAGGCTCCTGACTTGTTAAGAATTATGCTTTCTTTGTATGGTGTCCATATATCTGGGAAAATATTATCCTTTTCATGAATGTTAACTGATTGATCCTTTTTTCCACTTTACTTTAAAATTTCATTTTAAAGGAAGCATTGAGGAGTGTGTGTAATTGTTACATTTGTTGCGATCTTTGTTGACCTTCATAAGATTTTGGTTAAGTCATTCAGAAAGCCGGTTTTCAATAAGTTGTACACCTGTTCCTTTCAAACCTTAGTATGTTTTCAGATGATATATTTAAATTTTTCTGGACGGTAGGGGTGAAGGAAATTGTAGAACTGCCCTCATTTATGACCACAGACATGAATTTAAAACCTTTGAACATTTGAAGAACAAACCAGAGATATAACAGAGTGCTTAAGCCCATAAGACAAGCATCAGCTGTAAAAACTTACTGTATTAGAAAAGCCATTACAGAGCTTCTAGGTTGGGAATGAAATTTATAAGAGGACTCCAGATTTTTTCTCATCCCTTTTGCAGGTACATAATGCAACTGTGGACAACTATCTACAGTTGAGACTTCTGTCTAATGATTGTTTTGATTTTCCTAGTTAGATGTTTAAGCAGATGACAAAACATACTCTTTGGTCAAAAAATCAAATGCATTATAGTTAAAATACTTATTTTCTCTTAATAACTGTAGTTAAATGGTTCTTAACTCAGGTGAAATGGCAGAACTTTGATAGTAAACTAGTTTGATTATAAATATTCTAAGTTTGAGTTTGCAGTAGATGTAGAATAAGATCGTGTTTAGGTGTATTCAGTTTTTACCCTTCAAAGAGGTAGAAGAAGAAAGAGCAGAGTTGTTCTTGTCTCTTCTCTTGCATGTCTTCTGGGATACCTAATACTGCTTGATGAAAACTTTTTACTATGGAACTAAATCTTCATTTAACAGATAACTCTAGAAGAAATAAACCCAAATTAGCAAATTCATTTGGATATTGAAGTATAATTTTTAAGTGAGTGTCATTGTGATTCAGTTTTGAAATTATTATATCTCTTGTAGCTCTGGCACAGCTTCTTATACTGGTTTATGATTGAGGTATGAGTTTGGCATATTCTCACTTAGACTCTAGTTTAGTCGGGGGGGCGGATAAATTTGGGGACCTTTTTCTCAGACATGTTTTCTTTTGGTCTGTTAGGTTGAGTTACTATCTCATCTGTTACCAAGATTACTAGTGAATTGTTTTGGTTGTAATTAATTAATATCTTTGCTTATATAAAAAAGATACTTTATTTGAGAATAACATTTTTTTTTTACTATTGAGGAGCTTCTCCCCAGCCTCAGTTTTATTTCTTTAACATTCTTTAACATATTCTATAAAATATCTATAACTTGATGTTATAAAGCATTTATTCTTTTACATATGAGACTTTCTAATTTTTTCAGATTAAGGTTCTGTCATTTTTCTTCAAAGCATCTTAAAATTCTTTAGAAAGACAGTTTATTTATGGATCCCTTCAGGGTCCAGGGAATCCTGGATTTCTTTTAGATATCCTTTTATTACAATTTCTGATGTTTTAGCCTGACATGCATGCACTGTGTCTCCTTGACTGCAACATTAGTTAGCCCTTTCCTCTGCCATGACTTTGCCTCCTTAACCCCATCTCCAGACTCAAATTTTGGAAATCCTTATTTACTTCTGGTTTATTTCAGACTCAAGAATGAACAATCCGTCAGAACCCAGTAAACCATCTATGGAGAGTGGAGATGGCAACACGGGTAAGAGATAGTTCTCTCATCTAGCTTTTTAATAAGATCTAACGAAGCTAAAAGAAGAAACTTCCCACTTTACTAGAACTTGTATTTGGCAAATACATAACAAAACTTGTATTTGGCAAATACATAACAATTTGAGTATTGACTTGTCAAATATGATTTAGTTGCAGGAACTGGGATTATGTTTGTTTAAGATTATCTACTTTTCTTTGCAGATTGCTTCATCTTTTTGCTTCCATCTATCAGAGAAACAACAGGTAGTTACAAGAATTGTCCTTTCAGTCAGATAGTTCTGGGTATGAATTATAGATTTGCCACTTACTAGCTGTGTGACTGTAGGCAATTTCTCCAATCTTTTTGAAATGTAATTTATTCAATTATAAAATGGGATAAAATATTTCAGAGGTCATTGTATTACAGGAGATAATATATGTGAAATGTTAAGCAAAGTACCAGCAGCCCAGCAGCACAGTAACCATTCAGTAAAGTATTGCTCTTGTTATAGGTATTAATCAAAATAGTAAATCTTATCTACTTCACATTTGATATAAATTATATTAAAGTATGATAGTGTCAGGTAGTTATTAATATAAAGACATACCCATTTCTAATACATCCTTTTATTTGGTAATTTTAAAAAAATTTACACTTGATTAAACCTTTTATCAGGAGAAAATTAATTATCATGTAAATGAGAATACTGAGGCCCCAAGAGAGAAAGGTAAATCCATAAAGGACAGTTTGTATCCACAATCCATACTCTTAATTCGGTGTATTGCTTAGAGGACATTTGACTATGTGTCTTTATTATCTGCCAGACATGAAACAGGGACTTCCCCAGTTTCTAATAATGCATAAATACAATTCTAAACCAAATAAGAAGAGAATTAATGGGCAAGGATGCACAAAAAGTAACTGTTTCTAAAGTAAACTAGGTTTTTCACTAGCAGAGAGGGTTCCCTCTTTGGCCATCATTTTGCAAAATACCTAACTAGGGGAGATGGGTAAGAATCGGAGACACTTTTGGAGGCTGTCTTTGTTTTCTATTTCTATGAGTCATAAAACGTTTTATTAATAATTTGTAGTAGCTGGATAGGTTGGACCAATATAGCAGTTTCCTGCCTACATGTCTTCCATTGTAAACTGTTCTGTACCTGGAGATGCTTATTTATCTTTTAATCTCTGAAATGTACCTACCTCTTTATGTGAAACTGAGCTGTAGGGATTCCATGTTGATCCCTGTTGTATTTAACATGTTTCATATTATTCTAACTGAGGCTAACCAAGTAGACTACTGTAGTATCTCCTGAGAAGGGGAAGGGGAGAACATTATATTCTTTCTAAATTATCAGCCACAGTCTCTTCTCTGTTACTTCTCTGTTCCCTGTTTGGGCCCCTCTTCCTTTATTTTGTAGCACTGGTTCTTGTGCCTGTGCAGGTGCTTTGGCCACTTAGCTTATGAGTAGGACTTGTTTTCAGAGTTATAGGGCAGTAGATCCCATTAAGAGACCAGGGGAGAGGAGGCAGGACACCTATGCCTAAAGGATAGCTTCAAAGAGGAAGCATGTTTTTCTGTCTAAGAGAGGAGAAACAGATTCACTAAATGATTGGAGAACAGGGAAAATATCTACTGCATCAGACTCAATGAATCCCCATTTTTACTTTAATGCCATTACTATAATAGCAGTTTCAGTAGTTACCATTTTTTGAGCACTTGTAACATTTAATAAAACCCGTGTGACATGTTTTTAAAAATCTTAAGCTCTGTATACGTTACCTGATTTTAATTTAAGTTCTTATGGCAAGTTAGATATTACTATTTTAAGGAATAGGGATTTGAGGCACAGATCCAGGTTTAAGGCAGGTTTAGGATTGTAGCCTGCATGTGTTTTTCCCATAAATGAAAATAAAACTGAAAAATTTAAGCAGCATTTTGTATGTGTTCAGATCTTTGTAAGGTAAATTCTGGCTGGAGCACTTGTTGGAAGTCTTGTGAATTTCTTGCCCTGTTTTAATATGAAATGCATGGCAAACTCATTTGTACCATAGAGTTGAGCAATATCAATTAAGATTTTTTTACTTTTAGAAAATTGTAGTTTTCTGAAATTATAATTTTGTGGCTAAACTCTAGCACTTTCTTAGACTTCTCTACTTCCATCACCAGCAATGGCAGTTGATTTTCTCTTTTCTCCACAAAGATGGGAAATTTTTATTGTTTTTTTTGTTAAGAGTTACTGCTCATGAAATAATACATAGCAGCTGGATCAAATGTGAACCAGTCACCCATCCTTACTCTGAAGCATAGCCTCTTACTTCCTGTTTGTCTATTGTAGCATTTGTTGCCTTAGTAAAATTACTAATTACTTCCATTTTATGGACCTTTACATTCACTTCAGAATAACAGAAACCATGAATGTTAAGGGTTTGTCACTATAATTCTAGCATCTTCCGCTGGTATCAGTTTATTTAGGAATATAAAAATACTTTTGAGTCCCAGTTTGCATATCGAATTACCATGTTTGATATAGTAGATATAAATTTACAATTTATTTAGATAATTACATGCTTACAAGTTGATTTTTATTTTATAATATAACAAGTGAATCTACAGACTAGTCATTTGTTAGTTGTTTATTATTTTTTAGTAGTTTATGAAAAAGAAGTAAAAGTTTTAAGGGAAAGAACCTCTAACTAATAAAACTGAAGTCTCACGTTTTCTGGATTCAGAATACTTTTGTGTAGATCATTTTTTCCTGAAATGTTTATGATTGTAATAATTTTAATTTGTGAAATTTTAAGGAGAATGATATTGTAAACTTATTTAAGATTGTGTTGATACATTAGTTCTTTGCCTCTCACCTGCCAGAATGATTTATTTAAGTTGAGAAACTAAATCTGACAACGTGCCTTTTCAAATAGCCGTTATATGTCCATAGAGAATCTATAGCTTAGGTTTCTTTCTTTCTTTATTCATTCAGTAAGTACCTGTTCTATATGTAAAATATTACAGTTGGTGTTAGTAGAAGATATAGTACAAGCAGGTGAGATACCCTGAGTCTTCAAGGAATTCACAGTTCATTAAAAGATAAGACAAATATACAAATAACTGATTTTGGATAGATTATGGTAATTGTAATTCAAGAAAGGGGTATAGAAAAGTCCCATAGTGAAATTAAGAAGGTGTTTCTTTGAGGAAATTCAAGTGCGTTTATAGGCCAGATAGAAAAAATCACCAGGAAGGAAGAGAGTACAGAAAGAATAACAACTGATGGAACCAAAGTAGAGGTGAAGGGCTGAGATCAAAAATGCAGAATGGGCCAGGCGTGGTGGCTCATGCCTGTAATCCTAGCACTCCGGGAAGCCGAGGCGGGTGGATAGTTTGAGCTCAGGAGTTCAAGACCAGCCTAAACAAGAGCAAGACACTGTCTCTACTAAAAACAAAAAAGAAAAAAAGGAGGAAGAAGAGAGAAGGAAGGAAGGAAGAAGAGGAAGAAGGAGAAGGAAGGAAGGAGGAGGGAGAGGAGGAGAGGAGGAGGAGAAGGGGAGAGGGAGAGGGAGAGGAGAGGAGAGGAGAGAAATTAGCTGGACAACTTAAAATATATAGAAAAAATTAGCTGAGCATAGTGGCACATGTTTATAGTCCCAGCTGCTTGGGAGGCTGAGGCAGAAGGATTGCCTGAGCCCAGGAGTTTGAGGTTGCTGTGAGCTAGGCTGACGCCATGGCACTCTAGCCCAGGCAACAGAGTGAGACTGTATCTCAAAAAAAAGGTGCAGAATGAAGGGTTAACTTTGAAAGTGAAAAAAGATATACCACTTTCTCTAAGATTGGGGAGAAAGGAGTAAAGATTAAACAATGTGACTGAGAAAATTGAGGTGGAAGGGAGAAGCAAAACTGGGAAGTAATTCACATGATTACTTCATTTTTCTCATTAAAGTAATTGAGGTGATCATCAGAGGAAGGCAAGGATAATAGTAATAATAACAGCAGTTACCATTTATTGAATTCATTAACTGTAGGTATATGGCTAGCTGCTTTATTATGTATACTTTATGTCGTAATTGTTAAACTACGCCTATAAGGTAAGTAGGTTTATGCCTATATTGCACATAAGGGAACTAAATTCATAATGGTTTAGTAATTTATAATTGAAAGACTGTGAGCTTCTCATTACTTTATATTGCCTTGCTAGGAGAAGATTGAATGAAATGGGTTGAGTAGAGTGAATGAGTTTTGACATAGTTAGTTACCTTTAAGGAATTGATTGAAATAAAAAGGATTGATAAGCCGTTGAGGGTCAGGCTCAGATTAAAGAAAATAAATGTGTAATTTATCTAATCAACATATTTATCAGTTAACCTTTGAACAACACAGATTTGAGCTGTGTGGGCCTACTTGTATGTAGATTTTTTTTCAATACATACATTGGAAAAATATTTGTAGGTTTATAACAATTTGAAAAAACTTCCAGATGAACTGTATAGCCTAGAAATATTGAATACATTTAAAAGTTAGGTATGTTATGAATGCATAAAATAAATTAAGATTCTAGTCTATTTTAACATTTACTACTATAATCTCAAATCTATTATAAAAAGTTAAAATTTATAAAAATTTAACACAAACAAGCACTTAAAGACTATACATGGTACCATTCACAGCTGAGAGAATGTAAACAAACTTAGATATACAGTATTAAATCATGTGTGGATAAAACTAACTATAGTATCTACTGTACCACTGTAATAATTTTGTAGCCGTTTCCTGTTGCTATTGCAGTGATCTCAAGTGTTGCGGAGTATCCTCTTAAAATGCCATGTGATGCTAGTTGTGTCCATGTGAGCAGTTTCCTCCATCTTTGCAGCCATCTGTATAGCATCTTCAAATTTATCTTGTAGGGAAAACAGGTATGAAAATGTAATATAACAGAAATTGAGAAGATTCATGAGTATACATGAATCCATGAGAATTCAACATAGGGAGAAATTGTTTCTAGCTGGCAGGATCAGGGAAGACTTTGGAGAAAGTGGAGTTTAAACTATACCTTGAAGGCAGGGTAGGATTTAAATGTGGTGGTGGTAGGCAGTATACATTCAGCATGAAGAAACAGTAAAAGCTGAGATGGAGAAGAAATCTGTACTAAGTGTCTCTAATTCCTTCAGATTTTTTCCATCATGTCATGTGATTTCTAGATCCTTTATCCTTTAGTCATTCACAGAATTAGACAGTATTCTAGTTCTTCAGACTTCATTATAGCCA